AAGAAGGTGGGGGGGGGGGGAAGAAAAAGCTTTATATGTTGTTATGTATTGTTCTATGTGTTTTAGCCACTCTGAGTTTAATAAGATGCTTTGAGGAACTTTCTACTTAAAATGCACTTTTACTGCCTTTCCCTTGCAGCCAGGCTTTACAAGGTCTTAACTTGATATATGGGAAGTGGTAAAAAAATTCTTGAAATGTGTTTTTGAAATCTTTAGACCTTTGACCGTATTTGCTATGATGATACAGACTTAACAGTAAACCCACTTGAGAGACATTTTAATGGAGCGCTTTAAATGAAATCAATCGGTGGTTTCATAATGGCAGCTGAATGTGTGTCCTTGCCATTTTCCCATTTAACAAGAAGAAAAGGCCAAACAAGGCCCAATTAGTCATAATAAAATCAGCTTTGATGACATTTTCCCTCCTGAACTCTGGTATAAAATGGTCATCTGAGAAAGAACCGAAAGGATATGTGGGGAATTTGGTAGTATAACTGCATGTACACACATACACACGCCTGAGCAAAGAATGATCCGGTAAAGACACTGCAGATTACTTTGTAGATGGAGAAAATAGACCGTTTGTGTGTTTACGTGGGTGCATGTAGTCTTGCTCGATTTTTGTCTTAAATTCTAACTGATCTCAGTTTTTCTTTGAAGCCTATGCAGGTTAAACTTTGTTTTCATTCTGTGGATCTCAATGACATTTGTGTGCTTGGGTTACCCCGTTGTCCCTTCCATGGTAAGTCACGCTCCCTAATTACTTGAAGATCAGATGTTTCATGTCTTTTAAACAGCTGTTTTATTTAATTTTTTTTTTTAGTGTTTGCTTTGTTGATGTTGGTTTTTACAAAATTAAAGAAGTTTCTTGTATTAAAGCTATTGGTTAAATATTATTACTTAATTTTCCTGGAGTATAGCTCCATTTTTGCTTTAGTTACTAATAAAATATGCAAGCCTCTAAAATAATCATGTGAGAAATCTGCTGCATATTTAATGCAGAGTGTGGGGAGCTTTTGCTGAAGTTGAAATATTGTATGGAAAAGAGAAAAACATCAGTCTGCTCTCCATTTCATCTAATTCCCTTGTCTATATCAAATAGATACAATAAGACAGATGTATTCATTTCACTTATTGGTAGCTAGCTTTCAAACCAGTACATTTATTTGTCACCGTGAGTGTGTAGGTAAAGGAGGAATTCTTATATAAAGCTATGGAAAATTACTGCATAGCATCAGTACGACAAATTTGATTGAACTATGAAAGAAAGTAGAGCAACCTATAAAATTGAGCAGGTTACTTAAATAATGCTGATGCTCTTTCAGTTTCTCCTCTTGCCCAGGGTACCACGACAGATTGCTGGTCAAACCATGCGTACACCAATTAAGGCTTTGCCAAGGTGGAATGAGCTATTTGATTTCTAATGATGTTCAATTTTCCTGCTTCGGACAAAGTCTTCTTTAGACTCCCTGTTTCTTTACTGCTGTAAAATCAGCTCTTGGAGCCGTGGTTCAGATTTCTTTGTTTCCTCTGATGTGTTTTGCATCATTATCTTTTCATTAAGGTGATCTGTCGCTAGCAGAAACGGTGGCTACTCATCCAGCTGTTTATGTTATTGTTGCGAAGATCCCGTTAACCTTAATCTATCCATCGCCCGGTTCCTCCTTTACTTCTGTAAATGCTGAATCATCTTTCATTCCCGAATAGTTTAGACACAGCTCGATCTGACTCTCCACGTTTCGTACTGGATCTCTTTATGGCAATGATATAACAGGCACAATGAGTTTAATTATTTCAATGAACACCTTGCATGTCAAAATAACAGTCATTTATTCCGTAGTGGAAGTCTAGGTTGTGAGACAGCAGCTGGAAAATCAAAGGGGGATTTCTCTGTGTCTGTGTTTCTTGCAGAATGTATTTCTTCTTGTTAGGGAGAAACTTCAGGCTGGGGAAAAAAAACCCATGGTCAGTGGCAAAAGGCGGCTGTGCCTGCTCAGCTGCCTCAGCCGGAATGCGTGCTCCTGTTTGCCGAAAGAATCATTAATCTACCTTTCATATGCACAGACCAGAAAAAAAAAAAAAAGTTAAGTCCTAAACAGCATTAATAAAAGCAATAGCATGCTGAATTAAAACTAATCTTAGTGAAGCTAATGGCAATTTTACCACCAATTCCGGTGAAGGCAGGATGCTTTGCATGCAACCATTTCCTAAGCAAGAATGCAATGCAGAGGGCTTTAGAAATGATGGCAGAGTATTTCCTTTAGATAGGTAATCAGCAAGCTGGTAAACCAGGGTATGATGAAAGATGCAGAGAACTACGATAGACGTGCCAGGAAATGCTTCCTTTTAAATTCAACGTTAATTTAAAGGCAATTTGTAGAACTTTTTAAATGTAGTTTACGTTTTCGTACTGTAAAGTGCAAGGAAAAGGAATGTGTGCATAAACCTATATGGATTTTAATCCAGACTTTTTAAAATTCCCATTACTATATTGTCATTATTCAACGCAATCATACTATCGTAGCTAGCCATAACTACCAGAAAGCCTCCTCCCCCAGATTTCCGCTTCACGTGTATTTTCATTTTCTCTTGTCTGTCATTTAAACTACAGGACTTCGCGTAAGTGATAACAAGATGCTGTTGCATTGTAAACTGAAAAAAAAATATCTCATTTTACAGCAATAAACATGCATGCTACTCTAGGGAAGCTGTGTTACATGTCAGAACTGGTCAATGTCATGGAAAACAATTTGTTTCGTACCCTAAACATAAGTGTAACAGTATCACTATTTTATACCAGAAATACCACTGTTAAGTTTTGTAGAAAGCTATGAAAAAATCAGATTTTGGATGCAAGGAATCCTTAGCAATCCTTAGTTCATCCTTGTCATTCTAAGCCTAAGTTGGTTTTGTGTTTCTGCTTTGCTTATTTTACTGAACAAGTCCTGGCACCTAACACGAATCCACAATTTTACTTTTTCTTACCGCTCTCTTTTTTTCTTTTTTTCTTTTTTTTAATCTTCAGAGCAGCAATCCTTTTTATTTGAACTGCCAGCTGTATGGAAAATCTGATTACTGCCTCGTCCTGTTGAATAACTGCTTAGCCAAGGTGGGCAGGAACGAAGAACTGGCTTTTTTAAAGCCTTACCTGGAGATGCCTTTCAAGAAAAGGTCCTTCCGCAACGGCGTTGGATCGGGAATTAAAAAAACTTCCTTTCGAAGAGCAAAGTCATAAACAAGTGTTCGAAACCACACTCTTAATTTTAGCATCTGATGTTTAACTTTGCGCTTAAAATCATTTTAATGCTTTCTATGATAAAACCAAGAGAGACAAATGTGCCCGTGTCTTCATCGTGTAAACAGCTGTTTATTTCAAAGAGCACAAGCCAAGTGGAGCAGATGGAATTGCTCAGAAAGGGCTTTGTTTCCAAAGTTACAGTATCATAAAGTTTTGTACTGAAATGAATGTTTTCATTTGGTTAATTCCCCTTCTTTGTAAAGCTACAGATTTAATCAGCTTGCTGTTGATTAATACAAAAATAGTCCTGTGCTTTGAATAGAAGTGTGCATGCAGGCTGTCGGGAGGACTGACGGTATTATTCCTGACATCCCTCCTCTCTGCCGTAGAGGCAACCCCCCCGGCAAGGCAAGGCATGCCCGTACTTCCCTGTCCCAAATCACATTTACTTGAAGACAACTGCTCTGGCAATCTTAATGCAGATTTAAAGTACATTTAATTTCGGCTTTCCAAAAATATGAAGGGCCACTGGTGAAAGGCAGAAGGAGGCCCTGCTTGTAACTTCTAGTTTCTTTTTAATATAGTTATTTAAAATTACTTTAGCAGGAAATAATCTCTTGAGATGCGTCATCTCATTTCCAGAAGAGTCCTGGGACATCACTCTAAGGCAGGGTATCGCTGCAGCTCCCTTTGCCTCAATTAATTGACTTATGCAGGCAACCCACGTCCGACAAGATGTGCCAAATACAGTTTCTGCTCATCTGCTACAGTTGTGGCACGGTAATTAACCGCCAGATTATTTTTTTTTTTTAATTTCCTGAAAAAAAAAAAAAAAAAAACATTTGGACTGAAAATATGTAAATGTGGCATGTAGGAAAGGTCATCTGCTGAGCTACTTACGTGTGAATTTTACCTTGTGGCTGTTTCCTCCCAGTGCGGTGTAACAAGCTGTAACGTTGCCTTGAAAATGTTGCAAAGTGTCCATGCAATGCATTTGGAATTCAAAGCTAAGATAATAATAAATCAGTATATGGATGCTTTCTAATATTTCCCTACTAAATATCAGAAGCCAGGAGATCATCATTAAACCTAGAATAAGGCCAGCTGGCATCATCCCCTCCATGACGCCCATTCCTGTGCCTTGCACCCCTGAGCCCACGGAGAAAAGTGACTCGAGGATGGAGCTGGGCTAGTGCGACACTGAGTTTCTGGACTTCAGGTGGCAGGTGGGTTGCCCAGAGAGGTGGTGGAGGCCCCATCCCTGGGAACATTCCAGGCCAGGTTGGACAGGGCTGTGAGCAACCTGATGTGGTTCAAGGTGTCCCTGCTCCTGCAGGGGGGGTTGGGCTGGGTGACATCTAGGGGTCCCTTCCAACCCAAAACATTCTATGATTCTGTAATTTCTGGGTGATTTGAGGAGGTTAAACTCACTCCTGGCTGCATTTGTCCACACTGAAATGTTTAAAGCATCACATTTTTTAAAACTGCTTAAACACTTACACTCCTTTGGGGTACTTTTGGTGTCTGGGTTGCTTAGCTCTTGCAGCTCTTAGCCACGCGACACCTAGAGACCTTTAAAAACATATAGGGATATGCTAGGCAATTATTATTCTCATGCACTCTGACTTGTATAATGTCTGGATGGGAGGAAGCACAGGCCAGCAAAGGCGGTGGCCCGCAGGATTTTCACTGCAGCAGGGCATTTGCCCTGTTTCATTCTTGGCCGCTGTGATTTCAGCCATGGCAGATGTCCTGTGAATGCACTTTTCCAACTCAAACAATCTCCATCTCTGTCCAGAACTGCCCAAGAAGCAGCATTTTCATGCCTTTGGCCACGTACAACTGGAGGTCTAGGGATGACTCCTGGGCAGTGACTGCTGTGCGTGTGGGTAAGTGCTGTCAAGACGTGTTGACCTGCTAAACACAGGTCCTGAGTGGAGGGTCCCAAAAAGGAAAAAAGGTAACATGGATTTACTTATGCCCTTGCCCAGGCATGATGCACGTATTCTGCATCTGTCCACATCTGTGTTCCATGAGATGGAGGCATTTTGTCACAGTGCAGCTACCTGGAGTGGCTCTGGCCCGCTCCTTACAGCTCATATCACCACCCAACTTATTTTTCAGGGAAGAAAAAAAACCCGAAACAAGTCCAGATTTGTCTTTGTCTTAGGCTTTCACATCTATTTTATTTAACATTTCTCTACGTAATCAAATACATTTCTGCCTTGGTAACCTATGATAAGCAGGGTTGTCTGTAAGCCAACAGAGCTGTACGTGCAGCTTTGAAAATCATCCTCTTCCTTTTCATTTATTGTGCAGGTATGTGACCAACTCGTTTAGTGATTTGGCAATTGCCTTGCAACAAGGTAAGTTCAGAAGGGACGGGGAGCCGATATCCTGCTTGCACAGGCCTTCATCCCCTTTTTTTGAAAGTGCGGGTTGCAAGAAAAATAGCTCCTTGGCTACAGGAAAAAGCCCATTATTTATGATTTAGTCATGCCCTGACAAGCCACTCCACCTTGAGAGACAGGCATATACAAAAAAGATGGGACAAGGAGGCGACCAAGAGCTGTAAGTCTTGTACTCACCTAAATCACACCGAGCAAGCCTGGAAAATGTAGATTATCCAGCTGACTTACAGAATTAGTTCTGTCACTGGTGGCCTGATCTTGCCATCACCACCCACTGCAAACTCACGGCGCTTATGCTGCCATTGACATGAAATACTAAACTCTTTTCTGAACTTTAAAGGTGGCTTTATTTTGGAAAGAACAGAGAGTAACCTCAGTGATCTCTGTCAGAAAATAAGGATCTAAGGGTGCCATTGCTGAGCACATTAATTTTTATGCTGACAGAAACTGGAAATATGACATTAGGTGTCTTCTTTCGGTGCAAAGAGGACAATAGGAACGACTATAGGAATGCTAGCCTACAGCATAATTAATGCGCTGCAATGCATTATACTCCTTCCTGCAGAACAGGGATTCATTACTCTGTGAAGAGATATTTTGTTGACTTTATTATTTTTCTTGGCTAACCTAGGAGAAAGAGAAAGGATAAACAAGTTTAGAGGGTGGGAAGCATAATGCTTTGTCTACGGATTGAAGAGTAAGTTGGGAAGCCTCACCAGTTTTGGCCTTTGATAGTAATTCAGTCCGTGACCTTAGATAAGTCACTTCATTTCTACTCAACTTCTCCATCTGAAAAATAAGAAGCTATCGTCATCAAGCCATCTCGCATAAGCGGTGTCGTGACTGATGGATTTGGGAAGGGTTTGGGAGGTGCTGGGGCAGGGAAGGATGGTATCTGCAGCGGGTGCAATGTCATGGGGCTAGGAGAAATGCTCGTTTCCCCAACAAGGCTAAGTACAAGGCATCCTTAAAATGCAGCTCCCATAGTTTATTCAATCTCGAGCTAGGAATACTATGTGTTTTCTCCTTTTTTGCTCATGCATCCCTTGGTAAAACACATTAAAATCCATTGAAAGGACATTGCAGAATCCTCGAATTCATAGGGATTTTTTTACCCTACTTTGCTCTAACTTGTTTCTACCTTTAGAGGCTTTGGATGTACGTATCCGCTAACGGGTCCCTGTGTTCGGGCTGCAAAAGCCATCTTCAAGCATAGCTGTCAATATTTTTAGCAGGCAGCCTGTCCTGAGCCTGGGGGTCGGGCTGCAGCTGCCCTGCAGTCGCAGGAGCGTGCGCTGTGTCCCCATCCTCGCCCCTGGAAGGGCACCTTGCAAAGGGCTGTGCACGGTATTGCACGCTGCCTGCTGCTCCTCTGCTCCCTAAAAACGAGCTGTGCCTTTGGAGGAGGTAGCAGAGGTTCACCACTAGGTGAAAATGGAAAGAACAAATCCAATAAAATACGAACAAGGGAAATCTGCCTTGAAGACAGGAGGAGGAATTAACATTTTGTTTTCTTCATCATAGATTATTGGCAAGAAAGGCAATTAAATAGCCTGATGTAATAGCATCTAATTTACTTGTGAGATGGAAAATTAGTTGTTGTAATGACATACCAACTCTTGGTTTTCTGATTACCAAGCATATATTAAAATAGATATATATATCACATTTAGATCTCCTAATTTGCTATTATTTGCCTGTAGATGGTAATTTATTGCCTTAAAGTACTGAGAGGAAGAAAGGAAAAAGTCTCTTGCCACTTTCAGCTCTGAATATAATTTTGACCTTAAGAAAGAACAAGGCAGATCTGAGAGAGTATATTAGATGTTATTATTACCGTAATAAAATACAGATAAAAATCATAGTGCAGAAAGACTCTAAGACAACTATTAAGCATTTGTCATATAAAGAAAATCAAAATTTAACTTATCAGATATTCTGGCACTTTAAAGATTCATCATGAAAAATTACTTCTAACAGCGAAGTGCTTATGCAATATGTCATTGATGAGCTGTCTGCTTAAACATTTAAAGAGTTTGGGAAAAGATAAAAAAAAAAAGGCAAAGATATGTTTTTTATTAGCCTGACAGAATGTTTCACTGTATTAAAAATTATTTTTAATACAGTGAAACAGTATGGCATTGCATTTTTTTTTTAAGAAAACAAGCTGAGCGATGGTTAGTGAGCATAACCAAACCCAGAACGTTGCTTGTTGACTGAAAAAATGGTACAGCTGTACCACGGGCTTCCCGCCAGTGTTCGGTTTGAGAGGCAAGGGGAATTTTTCTGCCTTTATGGTGATAGAAAGAGTTTTTCTTCTAATACCTGACTGGATTTGAAGTCATTGGGTTGATTATGCTTAAAATGATATATGATAATATCTTAAAAGCTTGGTCAACTGACACCTATCTTCTCAAAGTCTTCAGCACGAACCTTTCAGAGGACATAAAAGGGTTCAATGCGATAAGAAATGAGCTATCAAGTGCTGCTCTCGAGACACCACCCACCACTCATTGAAGTCAACAGAAAGCTACTGAGCATCTTCAACGGGCTTTGGATCAGACGTTCAGCATATTAACGGTAAGA